TTCATCTTTGTATCATATTGCAGGTGATGGATTATTTTTTCTGCATCCTAGTTGTTTTTAAGAGATCCTTTCTTACCTTTTCACTAGCTGAACCAGTGTCTTCAAGATCTGAAATTCTGTCTTCACTTTAACTTAAATGGTTTTGCAAGCTTGTGATTGAGATTTTAATTTTCTCTATATCTCTTTGACTCTGATTCATGCGATCTATTTCTTTCCTCTATTGCTCATTCAAGGAATCTGTCATTTTTCTAATCTCCTCTGTTTTTTTTTAAATCAATGTCTTCTTTAGAAGCAGTTATAAATTCTTTTGCTGTAGTGTTTTTTTCAGATTGGGTTTCCTCTCTATGTTTCTGTAGTTGATTCTTTACTTCAGATACTATGAGTTCTGTGAATCCTTTTTTTATTTCAGAAAAGAATTCTGCTCTGAGATCCTCTATAACTTTCTGCTGTTGCTTATTTACTATCAATGCTATTAATTCATACATTTGAGCTGTGTTAGTGTCCTCTGTACTTGTTCTGGGTGGGCATTGGATTTCCTCCGTATGTTTCTGCATTTAATTCTTTACTGCAGATGTTATTAATTCAGGGATTTCTTTTTTCATTTCCAAGCTGAGTTCTTCTATACCTTTGTGCAGCTGTTTCTTTATTTCAGAAGCTGTTGATTCATTGCTTTCAGGTGTGTGATTCCCAGTTTGTTCTGTGTTAGTGTCCTCTGCACTTGTTATGGGTGGGCTTGGGTTCGAGATTGCATTTTGCTCCTTCTCGTTGTCATTTTGTGTAGCACTGTCTTCTGACCTTTGTTGTAGATCTTTGTTGCAGTTATAACAGCACCTACTGAAGTTCAGGTGTAGATCTACAAAGTTTGGATTTATCCAGTTATACCTTTCTTTGTTCTGTCTGCTGTGCTCAGTTCCTTCCTGTTTCTGCCCTTGGGGGTGAACCTGTTGTGCTCCTCTGGCAAGATGTTCTGCTCCTGGACTAGCTTGGTGGTTCTGTCCCCCATACTCTCTGCAGGAATTGCAGCTGCATGGTTTCACCCCAAGTCTGTATGCTAGGTCTTAGGTGTGTCTGGAGGGGACAAGATGGAGTAGGGTGGAGAGGCAGCTCTCCAACACACTCACTGGGCCTGGACTAGGACTGGATCTGGGGCTTCCCAGAACATGACAGAAATTCCTACTCTGTTGGCAGGGCCTGAGGGGGGGTACTATGGAGTGATGGGGGGTGTCCCAAGAGGATGAAAGTGGGTGTCACCCACACTGTGCCTGGGCTGGGACCAGTAGGTCATGCCAGTACAGGGTAGCCAGAAGCTCTCCCACACACTCACCGGGCCTGGGCTAGGACTGGATCTGGGGGTTCCCATAATGCGGCAGAAATTCCTCCTGGGCAGGCGGAGTAGGGGAGTTGCTGGGGAGTGGTGGGGGGTGTCTCAAGGGGGTGGAAGAGGGTCTCACCCACGCTGTGCCTGGGCTGGGAGGAGTAGGTCCCACTGGCGCAGGGTAGCCCACTTAGGTACTTTTTGACCCCACAGAAAAAAACAAAAACAAAAACAGAAAAACCTAACATTCAAAACTACCAATAACAGGAAGGAGAGGAAAAAAAAATTTGAGAATGAAATGTTTCCCACCATAGTGGACTCTTAAGCACATTCTCCACTTATGTGGTGTGCTAGCTGGATAGGTTTTGGCATAATTGTTACACATTTGGCGTGGATGGCACACGAGTTGGTATCTCAAACAGGTCAACGAGACAGGCCTCACTTGCCTCCTGCCAAGCACTGATAGCTGCGCTTTGGAAGCGTAGATGTGTTTTGAAGTCCTGAGCAATTTTTTGAATCAGACGCTAGAAAGGAAGTTTGCGAATCAGAAGTTCTGTGGACTGCTGATAACAGCTAATTTCACGGAGTGCCACAATCCCAGGCCTGTAACAGTGAGGTTTCTTTACTCCTCTGGTAGAGGGTGCACTCTTACATGTAGCTTTTGAAGCCAGTTGTTTCCTGGCAGTTTACCACTGGTGGATTTACAGGCAGTCTGCTTGAGCCATAGTACAGGGTCCTCCTTATCCCCTTCTCCTTTGGCTGGAGCTCGGTGAGCGAGAGGCGGCGCTGGCGTTAGAGAGGGACTAACAGTGACTTTTAATGCATTTGGTAATGCATCCTTTCAAACCCTGCTGGTAGGAGGGCCAAGTAGCCTTTGGAGGGAAGCAGTTTGGGGGTCTCTATTAATAATCTTAAAGCTTTATGTATTTGATCTTCTAATTCCATAATTTAAATGCCATGTAATAGTCAGAAACAAGGACAGACATTACCAACAAATATAATCTCTGCATCACTAATCAGTGAAATCCTAGAAACAACTCAAAGCACCAGCAGCAGATTCTTGTTAAATAATCACCCGACTAACATTTTTATGCTGTAGGCTTTACTGTATAAGCATTGACAGATCCTTATAATCTAATGAGGGAATTTCTATTATTTTGTCCATTTTACAGTTGAGAAGAGTGGGGATAGAAAGAAGTTACTAGTTAGATGTAAGACAGGAGATAGCAAAAGCCAGGATGTGGCCAGCCAGTCAATGGAGTCTGCGCTCTTCGCTTCTTGTAACTGTACCGGACCACAAGAAAATGGTACAATTAATTAGCACAATTGCTCTAATAATAAACTTGATACCATTATTATAGTTTACGTTTGAAAGTAATTCTTAGTGGTATAACAAAGTGCTCATGCTGTAATGTCAAATGGCAGGTGCATGAATGGGTTGTGACCCCAATTATGTTAAAACACTGTGACATTTTGTTCACGTGAAGATACACCATGTGTATTTCCCTGCCACCGACCCCACCACCGGTGTCCTGGCATTGTTGCTGTATCATAGTGTAATTTCCGCGCTTTTAGCAGCACACGAAGTTAAAACCATAGATTGAGCGAGAAACTGTGTTTGTATACATAAAAAAAGAGAAGGAAAATGCTACAATGGCTATGGGGAGAGGGCCTCGAGACCCCTCAGAAGCACACAGCTGTCAGTAGTGGAGCTGGGCTCCCCTCCTGGGAGGGCAAATCCAGGCTCTCGGCCAGCTTTCCCAGCGTGGCCCCTGGAGGCGTCCTTTGCACCGCGGGAGGCGGAGGATTGAGCTGCTTGAACTCGGTGCAGGGAGTCAACGGCTGACCACAGCGCTGCAGGTGTGGCAGAGCCTTGCCTTGTGGGCGGGTCTGGGAGAGGCGGAGCTGGCAGACGGCCCTCCCGCTGCGGGCTCTCCTCCTTTCCCTGCTGTCCTTGCTGTTTAAGCTCCTGGAAAAGTCAAGTCTAACACAGCGCTCACTGTCTTCCAAAATGCTATAAAACAGATTCTATATGGAAAGGATAAACTTCCGCTTCAGTGCTTTGCTGAGTTCCAGCTATTTTTTTGAAAAATGTGTTTAGTACGGGGTCTCACTACACAGATCAGACTCGTAATAACCCTCCTATTGCGGCACGGCTCGCCGCGGATTGAACCCCAGTCCTTCTGCATTCTGCCTAAGCAGGCACTATAGTCCGCTGAGCTATCTGGCCGACCTCCAGCTAAGTCTTAGCCAGAGAGGACTCATGCTTGCGAGGGCTGACTCTTCCGGCTCCACCAGCTCCTGCCCCAGGCCCTTTGCAAGGCTTGTCCCTCTGTCCCATTGCCCTGTTACTTTCTCCTCATTCCACAGCTCAGGCGTCAGTTAGGTGCAAAGTGTTTCTAGCTCCATAACTCAGCTCTCATATTATCAACCTTCATAGAACTTTCCAGAATGGCAGTTGTACTGTGGTTTCTGTGACTGGGATTCATACCATCTCCGGTCAGCCTTTGAGTTTGGTGAGACAGGAATCGGGCTGCTGGCGTGTCTTTTTAACTCACCCTCAGCTCCGCAGCTCGCAGTACAGGGCCTGGCACAGTGCAGGGACAGAGGAAAAACTGCTGAGTAGGGAGAGGGTCCTGGGGACGGAGGAGCTGAGGTCCTTCCGGGCGGGGTGTGGCAGTGGGGAGCCGAGTGGCTTGCCCTGGGAGCATCAGCTCCTGGCCTTGGTGGCGTAGCACGATAGCACAAGAGCAGGACTTGAAGCAAGACTTGGGGGTTTCTGTTTGCTTTTGGGAAAACAGCACAGATGTCGGGACCAGCAAACTTGATGCTGAATTCTTTTTATCTCCTTCACTCTGTGTCCCTCCAATATTTTTTCACCTCATGCATTTCTTCAGTGGTCCAATAGCTTTTTTTTTTTTTTTTTAAACCTCTAAGAGGTGAAGGCAACCTCCAAGTAGATGTATAGGCTACTCGGGATGCTATTAATTTGTTTTTTCTGTAAACAGATACTGAAAATATTGCGGTCAAATAGATTTGTGCCTAATAAAAAATTCATGTGGAATGCTTAAAAAGTGCTTTATTTCTTCAGGCGGAAGCAGCCCCAGCATCTTGAGAACTCATCTAGGACACCACTTCCTTGCACTGTCTGTGCTGTGCGTAGCTTTCTCTAGCTGATCTACCATCCGGGATCTCCTGGAGGCCTGTGAAAAGCTCAGGCTGAGCTGGCGCCTCAGCTGCTGGGGATTGCAAACGTGAAAGGAAAATCAGATGAGAGGTTTTCAAATGTCCACTTGGTGGAGCTGTGAGTTTAGCTGGGAGTGGGACTGACAGAGCCACAAGTTTCCCTGGGATGTTCAAACCAGAGACTCCTAAGGCTGAGGCCGGGACTGCTCCCCGCCTCCTTCCTAACCCAGGTCATCCTGGCTTCCAGACCGCGTAGGGGGACGTTTGCCTCTCACCCACAAGGCTGAGTATCAGGGAGCCCTGAACCTCAGGATTCCAGGGCTGCCGCCTCAGTCCTTATCTTCCTGTGACTTCACGTAGTGATTGAAGGAATTTAGGCAGCTGAATAAAAATGGATACCAGGCCTGGGGGTGTAGCTCAGCGACAGAGCATGCACTGGCTGTGGATTTAATCTCCAGCACCAAAAATAAAACAAACCTCCACCAACCAAACCAAACCAAAAGGAACCAACCCAAAAAACAAACTCCTCAAAACAAAGGAAAACATTTTGGAACCTCCCCCATTTTGATTCTGTACTTGTGGGGTACAGCTGTGAATTTTGTTACCTCTGGCTGCAAAATAAATCACGCCCAAGCTTAGGTACTTAAAAATGACACTTTCTATCTTTCAAAGTTCCAGTAGCTCAAGAGTTCTTGAGTAGCTTATCTGGGTAGGGGTTGTTCCAATCTCTTTCCTGTTGATATAACTGCATACTACAGTCTGAGCAGTAGCGAGAGTAAAGAGGCTCCTAGGAAGCAGTGTCTGGTGTTAGGGAGACTTCAAAGTTGAAAAGGTATATTTTCTGTGGATCCTGACTCCCAAGCGTGAGAACATAAAAGGTCCCAAGTCTCCACACTCCTGAGCAAAGGTCACTGGAGCAAAGTCCATCAGGAGCCTGAGACATTGCCTTCAGATTCCATAAAGCCCACCCCCAGCCTACCATAGGTGGAATAGGCTTATTTGCTCATAGCTCTGGGAAGCCCCGGAAGCCCAGGAGCAAGTACTAGCATCTGCTCAGCATGGGTGAGGACTTCATGCCGGCGATTAGGTGGGGAAGAGCAAAGCTCCAGGGGAAGCCTCTTCTTATACAGCCACTAATGCCACCACAGGGGGCCCCACCCCTATGACCTCATCTAATGCTCCCAAAGGCCCTGTCTCCAAATACCACTAACACATGAATTTGGGGATGCAGTTTCCAATACATGAGCTCTTGGGGGACAAATTCAGACCATCACAGGGTGTTATGGTCTAGGTCTAAAATAGCCCCCCCCCGCCAAAGTATCATGTGCCCAGTGGTGGGACCTGGTCAGAAAGGGCTAGTCACTATGGTGTGACCTAGAAGGGTGTTTGCTTTCTTCCAGCTTCTCCCTTTGTTCTCTGCTTCCTGGCTGCCTTTCGCCCACAGTTCCCTTCTGCCATGGTGCTCCTATGTTGGAGCCAGCCGGCCAGTGACATGGACTGCATCCTCTGAAGCCATGAGCTGACTGAAACACCTCCTTTAAGCTATGGGCATTTTGTCCCAGTGACAGGTAAGTGACTAACCCAAAGGTGTTCTGCCTTAAAGTCTGTCCTGAGGTTGCTCTCAGATGTAGGCTGGGGCTGCATTCACTTGAAATCTTGACTGCGGCTAGAGACTCACTTCTGAGGGTGCTGGTAGCTCGGGTGCAGGAAACGCATGTGACAGGGAGAGGTGCTGGGCTGGCTCCGAAGCATTCATATGTTGTCTAGACAAGACAGGCTTAAAAGCCACGTCTTTGCTGGTATGCCTCTGTTGGATCCTCTGACCCCAGCAGCCCTGAAGGCAGTGTCTTCCAGCAGATGTCACCCTTAATTCCTAGGCCTCCCGGGTCCTCACCTCTACTAGGTCCTTTACCTTTCCAGGCCTTTCTTCTGAGTAGTACCTCTTTCAAGATGGCTAGAGTCTGGCCCCTTCCCCTGTGACCTACCTTCACCTTGTGGCAGTGAGGGGCAGAAGAAGGGGGAAGGCCAGCATCCTGCATGTCTTGCCTGGAAAACGAACTCAGCCTCCTCAGCTTCCCCACTGTGGCAGGCTGGGGGCGGGCTCTATGGAATCTGAAGGCAGTGTCTCAGGCTCCGGATGGGCCTTGCTCCA